AGTAGTAGTAGTAGTAGTAGTAGTAGTAGTAGTAGTAGTAGTAGTAGCAGTAGTAGCAGCAGTAGTAGGTAGTAGGTAGTAGGTAGTAGGTGGTACGTAGTAGGTAGTAGGTCGCTGGATCAGAATATACAACCATTGGACTGAGACATGTCGATCGCTGGATCAGAATAGACAACCTCTGATTCGGATTCGTTCCATTTCATTGTAGAACGACTTCGCTTGAAATCAACAGCAACAAACTCTCCCAGCAAAATGTGCAACTCCAATGCACCCACAAGTCTGATTGAGCAGGGTATTGTTGTTCGATGTCATTCTGGGTCTTTCATTTCAAACGGTTTGGAGAAAAAAACGACAAATCCTGCCAGATCTAGAAATTCTTCGGTCGCTTTGAAGCCTTCTGTGTGTGAAAAAGAATATCTGGTGCGTGTCGCAATCCCTCGAGACGGTCGAAAAAAAGATCTGAAAAGGAAAACATGCACACGGCCAAGTCGTTTGGAAGAAGAATCGTTTTCAAGGTCATGTTTTGTGGATAGTCTTGGTTCGCATTGCTTGTGTTGGCTTCACTTGGTTCCTCTTAGGTGATTCGACTGAGACATGCCGGTTCGGATCGCTGGATCAGAATAGACAACCTCTGATTCGGATTCGTTCCATTTCATGGTCAAACAACCTTGAAATAAACATCAACAAACTCACCCAGCCAAATGTGCACCTCCAATGCACCAACGAGTATGATTGAGCAGGGTATTGTATCATTAAGCTGCCTGCCAATGCGGGCTCCAGCTGGTGGCCGGCGGCATGCCGAAGGCTGTAAATAAGGCACTCAACCATCTTGGAACAGCAGTCTTTGGTTTCACAGCTCAAACACTCTTTTGTTTCACACCAGATTTCCTCACTTTGGGGTGGTTTCAGTGATCAATGGGGCGGTTTATTCCAGTCCCATGGACGGTGCGTTTGGCGCCCGTGGCATCGCCCGTGGCATGTCCTGCATCAGCTTCCAGGAGCTCTGCCTCGTCTCGAGGCCGGCATGGGTTCCCGTGGACGACTAAAAAGAGCCCGCCACGACCAATATGACTCACCGGTGTTTCCAAGCCTTTGTGGCTCTCAGTCAGTCAGTCAGTCACCTAATAAGAAGTTGAAACATGTTGAAAGAAGCAGGATCTTCCGGGTGCCATGACTCTCCTGGGTGCCATGACTCCCCTGGGTGCCATGACTCCCCTGCTCGATGAACCAAGTCTCCGCGCCGGAGTCTTCCCCTCCAGCGACTTCATCAAATGCCTGAAGTGGTCGACAAGGGCGAGGAGCAAAGCTTGACGAGATGTTCGACCAGTCTAAACTAGGACTTACCAGTATGTTGAGCTGAATGAAGCTACATATGTCCGACATGGCTTTCCTTTCATGTATTGAATTGTGATCCAAATCACACATGATCACACCCAATAACAAGCTCAACTTCCTCAACATCAAACCTAGACCCATCATCTCGGGTGAGGGCTGGGACTCCAAGGTATCGAGAGATGTGTTCAGCCGCCGGGACTCCAGTATTGAGTCGTCCGACGGGGGAGGAGGCACTGAGGTCATGCTCCAGGTTCCAGGATCGAAACAAACAACAAAGGCCTCCAGAGACCAGGCACTGAGGCCTTTTCTCAGCTGTGCAAGACTTCACCTGTAGTATATCCAGTCGCTGCGAAGTGAAGTGATGGAACTCCCAACAAATTCAGGTGGGCTTTACCGAAACAGCATCATTTGTTGGAGAAGTCCAGCTGGCAAAGCAAACCAGTGAGCCAGGGTCCCAGGGTTCATGAGTTTCAGGACATGCTGATCTTCCTTTTGTATCCATACACCTCAGTACCACTCAGCTACAGGTTCTACCATTGGACCCTCCATTTGCAACAGGCCGGTGTGGCTCCACAGCTGCCTTTGCAGCGGCCTGAGGTGATGGGTTTGGCAGGGTTTGGGCAAGGCAGGCCAGGCTGGTTTTGGCACACAGTCAAAAACCTGCAATTGCCCTTGCAACATGACAGGGTGTTCAAGCGTTTCTCGAGGTGGGTAGTGTTTCAGTTATGCAGTTGATCCTGAAAGAAGGCTTTGATGGTAAAACAGTTCACCGTTGAAGTGCATTTGGAATCAGATTCTCGTTGAGCTTCGGCGAGGTTGTTTCGAGTTCGTTCGGCCCGGATGAAGCAGCTTCTTTAAGTGGCAGTGGAATGATGTCAGGTTCTGGGGCCCTGGAAAACTGAGAAAGGCATGAGGATGTGCATTACAAACATCAACTAAACCCACATGTCATTCTTTGATTTGCTAAAGGAACCGGACAAAACCAAGACCAACACTGGTAATCACCGGAACTCTCTACGACTCTACTGACCTCCTACACTTGTGCCGGTCGGACGATTGGAACCGTTCTTTCGGGGTCGAGCCGCCAAGCCGCGAAAAGGTGAAGCTGGTGATCGAGCCAATCCCCTGGACTCGCTCGGGCCCTCGGTCGATGGAAACCCGCCCCCAGTCAGAACGGCACGCGGGAAAGCGCCAGTGCGCACGCCACGCGGAGTTCGCCGAAGAATGGGGCGCCTGGGCCTCCACCGAACTGCCTGCAGGTGGAAGGTGGAGACTCTGCACATGAGCCGTCAAAAATGATTTACATGGCCTCTCCTCACCATTCTCACCTAAGCAATTTAGTCAGTCCCCCTATCGTTTTACAGGGGTTGCCTTCTTAACAAGTTTGAGCTTGCCTCACATGGACATTCCTTCATGCCTGATCCAATCAAAGGATGTGGAAAGGTCTGAGAAACACCTCCGGAAAAAGCCAGAAATCATATAGAAATCATGAAGCATGGCCAATTCACTTCAACTCCATCGTATATATTTGAGTGCATTCGCACGACGAATTCGCCGCAACTATCAGGTGCAGTTGTCTTTTTGCGCAAAAAAACGATTCCACAGATGAAGCACACACATGAAGGCTAAATGCAGGGTGTACTACCCTTCCGTTTGCCTCTGAACATAAGCAACCCCCTTGCTGAACGAACACCCGGCCACCACATCCTCGTCCGGATCTCCGTGGTCCTCGCCTGCCGCAGTTACAGCGTTCCGGGCGAGCTGATTCAAGGCCTGAAGAGATGCTTCCGAAGAAACCCGCGGCGCTTCACATCAAGCCGTGTTCGAACCGTTGAAAGTACACCCGGAGTGGGAACCCTCACTACTCCCTGATCCCCCGAAGGGGGGTCAATTAACAGTAACTTACAATTTTGGGGTGTCAAAATGCAGGTTTTGGAACACGGTGATTTTTGAACATACAGGTCTAAAATACCTCCATCTGACAAGACAGGGGTCAAAATTGTAAGATTTGTAAGTTACATGTTCGACCCTCATGTGTTGAGCCTGTACGCGCTCAAAAATTGTAAGTTACATTTTTGCGGGTCAGGTGGATGCATGCCCCCCTGACAGTGCTCTGTGGGGTACCTGCCCATCCATTGTTACAATTTTGAGCCCTCCCGCCCCCTGCTTTCAAAGTCTCAGGACGTAGGCCTTTGAGTGGGGGTTAAAAAAGTAAGATCCTCCTATAGGCTACCTCACCCTTAGATCTAACAATTTTAACCCCCCCTTTTTGGGGCTCATTAGGGCTATATAATTGCTATCATCTCAAAATCAAACATTGTAAGTTACAAATTTGACCCCACCGGGGGGTCAGGCACCGCCAGGGGGTAGTGATGTTCCGAGACAAACCGGGCGACCCGCATGGACCAGACTGGAAGACAGTGATGTTCCGAAGACCAACCCGAGACGTGGGAAACCCAGGAGACCCTGGCGTGCGGGGCGATTCCAGCAATCGTAGGGGTGCCCGCCACGGGTCTCGAAGGCGCATGGGCCCGGACTGTGCATGACTGATAGTTGTGTATCTCCAAGATGATGCAAAGAAACCACCATGGTTTTGTTCCTATAAACATCGTATGTTATACAACAGAAAAAAAGCAAAGAACGTATAGGATGACCCCATCGTGTGTCGGACTTGTTGGGGGGTATAGGTGTTCTCCATCTAAGAACCATGCCCTTCGCTGCTTCCGCCGCTCTCCGCGGCTCGGAGGCCCGGCTCCGTGCCGTGCGGCGCGACCCCCGAAGCTCGGCTCGTCCGGCGGCGGGGGCGGCTCCTGCGGACGGGTCACGGACCCGCGCTGAACGGACTGACCGGAGCGTCTGAGACCGCATGGGTCGTAGGTCGTAGAGTCGTAGGTCGTAGTACACTTGATGAAGATCGAAATATGAAGAACATCAAAGTGATGAATGGTCTTTGAACTTTGGGAAGACGAGCTCTTAATCGGGGCTTTGGGTTTGAGTTGGAGCTGTAGGACATGTCAAAAGAACACAGGGGAGCTCCAGATGGGTTTTCTGAACTATATATACAGTAGAAAAGACCTCTTCAGTCCCTGTGGTTTGGCCTCTGACATCTTCTAACCCTCAGGGAGCTCCATCCCTTGACCCTCTGTGCTGAATGCCCATGCGGTTCTTCAGACCCACTCCTAGAGGCTACAAAGAGAACATCAAGAGCGGACCGCAACACTAACCCCAGCCACGTTCAGTTTTACATCACCTCGCACATGAGACTTACATCTGAAAGAAGTACCTCAAAGTTCCTGATTCACAGAACTCTTCACTCTTCCCTGAGTACGGCAGATCCACTTTGTGGCTCTTTTTGGATACTGACTGGAAGTGTTTTCAGAGTGGGGCGTTACACTGACACCGCTCGGGTCAATGCAGCGAGGGAGGGTGTCTTCGCTTGTCGACAGCGTCATTGTATCTCATTATCACTGTAATCATCCTATTTATTCTCAGCTGGTGAAGAAAATTTGTCGCTGAACTAACTGCCTGCACCTCAATGAGAAGGCATCTTTGCTCCCACAGTTATTGGTTAAATGCCTGCCTTGAACCCTATGAGGCCACAGTGATTTCAAGGTTCGTCATTTCAACACCCGACCAAACCTTACGGGAAAAAATGATAACGTAGACTATTGATGAATAAAACCCCCCATTTGGGTTGCAACACCTCACCATCATAGGGTGGTTTGGTTCATTGAGTCTACATGTTCAAGCATCTACCAGCACCTCGGACCCTCCATTTGGGTCACTGTGAATGATACCGTCCGGAGCATCTGACGTGGATACCGGACCCTTGGAGGCGGCCCGGGGTGCTATCCATGAGTAAACACAACCTGTTTAAAGACTGCTGAGAAGAATATATAGATACCAGTAAGTCCTAGCAACTGGTACAAAAAGACTCACTATGCTTTCTCAAACGGTTTGCAACCTAACCAGCATGATCTACTGTTACTGGGAAGGAGTCCTTCACCCGGACCGGAAGCCATATCCCAAGCCCATATCCAAAACCGGACTAAGTCATTCCAAGCAGAGTCTCCCCGAACTCCATGGAACTGCTGGTAGTTCAAAGAAAAACCGTTGGGATCCACGGATGACCACGGATGATCCGAACGCTTCGTCTGCCCGTCTCGAGAGATGTCTCTCGATGTCTCCCCCCCACCTGGGCCCTCAGCGACGGCCCGGGCTCCCCCTCCGGCGGGGGAGGTGGGGAGGCCTTGGAGATGCGAATTGCAGGCAAATCACTGGAGGTGCTGTCCAGGAGAACCAACATAAATCCCAGGTTCGAGGATCAGAATTCACCCAGTCTGGGAAAGTGATGGGACAATAAGAATCATTTTTAAGAACCTGATCCACAAAAGCAAGCAAATGGCGTGCCAAATATTTGTCGAAACACTTTTCAAGGTCTTTTCCTGACCTCACCAGGCCATCCACAGGCTGGGTCGAACGGTATAGGTCCCTATATAGTCGGCCGTGGATCCAAACCAGGGGACCCAGGTTGACCACCTCAGGGAGGTCCAGATACAAGATGCTACAAGGGTCTTTGGACGTTCAAAGCCTTGGATCCAGCCCCAGGTCAGCCGTCTTCGGTGTCCCGTCCACCTCCAATGGACTATTCCTTCGGCCCGGCCACCACCTGGGTCTCCCAGGAATCAAAGGCCGGCGGCTTGGGAACCTCCTGCGCAGCGGCGTTGCGACACCAGGAGGTTTGGATAGCGGACCTCACAGCTGTCCCGAGGGACAGGACATGGCACGGGTGGTGAGAGCACACACCCCAGTCCTCACCTCTTTTGGTGTAGGAGATGTGTAGGCTACAAAATAGACAGTCCGTCTTTAAGAAACACGGGGGTCACTGTTTTTTCATGACATATCTACAGGAAAGGAAGTATTGATGGACATGGTGTGAGGGTGTTCTCCTAGTGAGGCGGTGCAGGAAGTGAGGCGGTGCAGGATTTCAAATGAACGGATATGATGAATATTGAATAATGTTGGAAGCTGATTAGTAATAGGGCCCTCTAAAATGCGAAATGTTTGAAAAGTAATTGTTCACACCAGGTGTGTTTTAAGGGTTCTCTATTATGCTAAATCTTTTGGGGAACCTAATTTTTAATATATTAAAAGTGAGAGTTTCAAATCCTGCGTAGATCTGTGAATACTACTAAATTACTAAGCCAATAGCTGGCTTGCTGACAGTATTATTGGTAATCATAGGTTTCTTTGGTTCTTCAAGACTCACAGCTTCCCAAAGCCATCAATTCCTTAATCAATCCTTTATATAAAGATTGCCCCTAAACAAATTTTCAAGGTAGTAGACCAGGAAAGCCCCTGATCCTCAATATTAAATTTGCTTTAAGGGTTCTCAATTGTGCGAAGATTTCATCAGAAAAAATCTCAAAACGTAATACTACTAAGCCAATGGCTGGCTTGCTGAGAGTATTATTATCATAGGCTTCTTTTAGTTCTTTAAAACTCACAGCTTCGCAAAGCCATCAATTCCTTAATCAATCCTTTATGTAAAGGTTGCTCCTAAACAAATTCCCCAAATAGTGCTCCGCACTAAGGGGTTCTTACGGTAAGAGTTAAGCGGGTTTAGATCAGGGTTCGCGCGTGTGGATGCGGCATTTTGCGTGGGCCGGCTCGCACAAAAGTTACTTTTTGAATTCCTCATGTCCATTTCGACTGCGCAGGCTCGCATAAAGTGGTGGCCGCGCCTTTCGTGCTTTCGGGACAAAGCTCTCGTGCAGGTGCCGTGCTCGTTTTCGGACATGAAGTGCATTTTGCGTGGCAGGCGCAAGGAATTCGACACATTGGAGCCTCGAAAAGGTCATTTTACGTGGCAGGTGCAAGGAATCGGAGACTTTGCAAATTTCGTGGCAGGCGCAGTGTTTTGTGGACGTTGCAAAAACGTTGGCAGGCGTGTGTCATTCGCAGGATTGCGTTTCACGTGGCAGGCGCAGGGAATCCGCACCATGGATGCGACATTTTGAGGTGAAACGGCTGAATTCGTGAGAGGGGTCGCATTTTTGGAATTTGAACTTGAAGATGCTTTTGCGTGGCCAGTGCAGCATTTCGTATGACCTGCAGGCATGATGTCGTGGCAGGCGCAGCATTTCTGAAACGCATTTGAAAATTTGCGAAAGCCTCGTGCAATTTGCTCATTTTGGATCTCCGATGTGCAGATGTCGTGGCAGGCGCAGCACTTTGTGAATCTGGATGTGCAGATTTCGTGGCAGGCGCAGCACTTTGTGAATCTCGATGT